CTTGGTCACGACTTGTAAAATAATCCACCTTTGCCTCCACTGAGGGAACGTCAATGTACATCTACTATAAACTCAAGGTCTTTTGTTGTTTTTGTTGTTGAGGCAGGATCTCATGAGGTCCAGTACAGTATATACTCACTGTGTACAGCATGCTGGCTTTAGGTGCACGGCAACTCTCCTAAGTGCTGGGATAATATGCACCATGCCCAGCTAGCCCTTTCATCTCCCAATATTTAGAGAATACTTTAAACAGTTTCTGCAATCAAACCCAAGTAGATAAGATCTTACATATTACCAATGGAGAAAATTTAAATGTAACATTTCTCCATCTAGACCAAGTAGGTTTTTACAATGTTTCCTGTTTGGTTTTGGTAAGATGAGAGGGATGGAACCAGGGTCTTCTAAACACTAAATTACTATTGTCTGCATTGCACTGACATCCCAGCCGGTCTTTGCCTTCAACTTTTATTCCATGAGTGTGTATGTTCTGCTTGTGTTTTCATCCTTGTACTATGTGCATGCCAAGTGCCCACAGAGGTGAGAAGAGAGTGCCAGAGCCTCTGGAGCTGGAGTTATAGATGGTTGTAAACTCCCATGTGGATGCTGGTCTGGAAGAGGCCTTTTAGCCACTGAGCCACCTTCTCAGCATCTCTTTACTGTTTTGAAACAGTGTCTTACGAAATTGTCAAACATGCATGTAGCTTCCCAAGTAGCTAAGACTGAGCTTAAATGCTGCTGCTGCTTGCTGCTGGACAACCTCTCTTCTCTGGCTCCCAGCGGGTTGCACGAGTGCACCTGCCCAGACCTGGGAGCTCATTGGATTCATGCATGAAACACACACACACACACACACACACACACACACACACACCAGTTAATTTTTGACATGCAATGACTAGCTCAAAGGTTGGGCACTCCTAAACCATCCCCTGCTAGCAAACACTCCCCTCTAGTACCCCTGAGGCTCCTAAACTTTCCTGTTAGCCCAGGCCCAATCAGGAAGTGGCCAGTGGCTACTTCCCTGAATTCTTGCACAGCTGGTTGGCTTTCTCTCCTGCAGCTCTTACATGCCATCCTTCTTCTGTGAGTCAGGGCGATTCTCTGTCTTCCTTCTCCCGGTTCCTAGCCTGTACAGATCTAAAGGTCCTGCCTCAGTCTATCTGCCTAGCCATTGGCTGTTGGCTCTTTATTGATCTATCAAAAACCAATTTGAGACAAGGACCTTCAACATCTGGACATGCAGATTCCTGATTTTGGGGGTTGGATTAATTCAAAGCATTGGAACCAATCCCCAACATCTTATCTTTTCTGTCCAGTTTTTTTTTTTTTTTTTTTTGGTTTTTCGAGACAGGGTTTCTCTGTGTAGCTCTGGCTGTCCTGGAACTCACTCTGTAGACCAGGCTGGTCTCAAACTCAGAAATCCACTTGCCTCTGCCTCCCAAGTGGTGGGATTAAAGGCGTGCGCCACCACCGCCCAGCATCTGTCCAAATTTTTAAAAAGTCTCTTCTCTCAGACATAAATTGAGCATAACCATAACAATAATGTAATTACAAAGTGTGATATACAATTAACATCCTGTCCATTGTATTTATCAATTAGATAAAGTACTCTACCACCTCACCTAACTAAAGAGCTTATAATTCTATACCTGAATTACATTCTGATTTTAGCCTGTATCACCATCAAAACCATCCTTCTAGTATATCATCTCTCTCAATGCTAAATAACTTGAAGTTTTATTATGAGATTATGAGATTATAACTAGTCTTCAACTCTGTCAGAAATCAGAGAATGAATAAAATATTACATGAATATTTAGGAAACACAAAAACATAGATTCCAAAACTTAAACAATTGTAGAGACAGCTGACTACCTGGACAGTCCCCTATTTTTCAAAATGTTGGAGCATCTGTCTTTAGCCTTCTGCCCCAGAGCTAACTGGCAGACCTTGAAATGAAGCAGGAAGCGGGGCAGTGGTGGCACACGCCTTTAATCCCAGCACTTGGGAAGCAGAGGCAGGTTGATTTCTGAGTTCGAGAGTTCGAGGCTAGCCTGGTCTACAGAATGAGTTCCAGGACAGCCAGGGATACACAGAGAAACCCTGTCTCGAAAAACAACCCCCCCCCAAAAAAAAAAGAAATGAAGCAGGAATATGAAGGACTAGCTTACCCTATCTTGGCAGAGTTTAGCATTGACTAAATGTTTGTCCTCTTTGGACCTTTGGATGGTATTTTGTCTGCAGATGAATAGGGCAATTTTTGTCCAGTGGCTACCTTGCCATTACTGGAGCAACTCTATATGAGGTTTTGATGCTCACTTTCTTCCTTGGAGAAGAATGGGGAAGCAGTTGGGAACAGACATGGCTCATTGTCAAATGATCCTTTAAAGCAATCATATTAAATGTCACATTCTGTGGATTTCTGATGTTTTTGTAAACCATCTATGTAAAGTATATCTGAACTGTTAACTCTTTTTTTTTTTTTTTTTTTCGAGACAGGGTTTCTCTGTATAGCCCTGGCTGTCCTGGAACTTACTCTGTAGACCAGGCTGGCCTCGAACTCAGAAATCCACCTGCCTCTGCCTCCCAAGTGCTGGGGTTAAAGGTGTGCACCACCACTGCCCATGAACTGTTAACTCTTAACTACCTTTAGCCATTTTTATTTGAGTAAACTGGAAATACTTTATTAAAATTAAATCAGAATCTAACACAACCATGAGTTTACTTTCAGTTCCTTAGCTTGTGTCACTTAATCATCCTAAACAGTTTGTAATAGCAGCTATTAGAAGGACTGGGTCAAAGCGTTGTATTCTTAAACGAGTTGCATAGGCACAGTGCCTATCTAAAAGTAACAATATGAATTCAGAATTTTGCATTAATGTACAGATTTAAACCAATGAAAACCTTAATTCTGCTGGGCGGTGGTGGCGCACACCTTTAATCCCAGCACTGGGGAGGCAGAGGCAGGTGGATTTCTGAGTTCGAGGCCAGCCTGGTCTACAGAGTGAGTTCCAGGACAGTCTGGGCTACACAGAGAAACCCTGTCTTGAAAACCAAAAACAAACAAACAAACCCCTTAATTCTATACCAATATATAAATTCTGTATCAATGTAAGAATTATAACTTCAATTTTGCATTACAAAGATTTCTATCAATGTAAGATTATGTCTACACAGTCCTTTGTTGAAGAATGAAATTAGTAATCCCTATTTCCTCCCTGTTCAAAATTATGACCATTTCCAAATTATCCCATAAAATGACAACCTATGTATAATTTGTAAAATAGCCATAACCAGACACCAAACCCAAGGAACAGGGCTGACAGCTCTCCAAAGGGTCTTCCTGCTAATAAGAGAGATGAGAAATTCTTTAAAGGGGTGGAGAGGGGTCGGAAAAGTTAAAAAATTGGTTAGACTTAAACCCTCCCTGCAATGGAGACTAGTATCTCCGTGGTTACATATGGGAGTGTGCCCCTTTCTCTATATAATTCTCAAGGTCTCAGTTTCTACTGTCTGAGGTAGATGAGGCTTCCTATCCCCTGCTTTCTGGTCTAATTTTTAAGGATCGAAAGCCTCAATATTTATTACCTATGTCTACTTACTCTGTAAGCCTATTTCCAGGCTCTATTTTTGTCATACCAGGCTAAACAATCCCAGAAATCCCATGTGGACCATGTTCAAAGGTTTTGAGAATTTGCCCCGACAAGGCTTTTAAATTTCTTTTTTTCTTTTTTCTTTTTTTTTTTTGGTTTTTCGAGACAGGGTTTCTCTGTGTAGTCCTGGCTGTCCTGGAACTCACTCTGTAGACCAGGCAAGTCTTGAACTCAGAAATCCGCCTGCCTCTGCCTCCCAAGTGCTGGGATTAAAGGCGTGTGCCACCACCGCTTGGCTGACTTTTAAATTTCTTTAAAACTTTTTTTCATTCTATCTCCCTACCTTCTCCCTTCCGTGGAGCTTGATATCTCTGTATACTTAGGAACATTTAAACAGTTACCGTTATATTCTCTTCTATCCTGAAAAGGAATTAAATCAAATTTTATAAACCTCTATCCTTTATTTATCTGGTAGCTGGAGGCGGGCAGCTTTTATTGGCTGCTTCTCACTGCTTTCTTCCTGGCGCCTGGTCAGGGAACCAGCCAGCCTCTTTGCACACAGTGGGTTCCCAGCATCTCTAAGCTGAGGCTTTCTCTGGAGGCTGTGTTCCTTTGTTCTAGTTTCACAGCTTGCTAGGGAACCACCTGACTCAGCTCCAATCACTGAGAAACCAGTTCTCCCCTCCTCCCTAACTTATCTCATGGTGCATGTGTATTCCGTTTGGGAATCTCTAAATTATTTTTAATAGTGAGTTCTCGCCTACCGTGTTGGGACCATCTGTAGTGGTACTTGGCTAACGGAGCTCTTTGGTTTCATGTATGAAACACACACATACACACACACACCAGTTAATTTTTGACATGCAATGACTAGCTCAAAGGTCGGGCACTCCTAAACCATCCCCGCTAGCAAACACTCCCCTCTAGTACCCCTGAGGCTCCTAAACTTTCCTGTTAGCCCAGGCCCAATCAGGAAGTGGCCAGTGGCTACTTCCCTGAATTCTTGCACAGCTGGTTGGCTTTCTCTCCTGCAGCTCTTACATGCCATCCTTCTTCTGTGAGTCAGGGCGATTCTCTGTCTTCCTTCTCCCGGTTCCTAGCCTGTACAGATCTAAAGGTCCTGCCTCAGTCTATCTGCCTAGCCATTGGCTGTTGGCTCTTTATTGATCTATCAAAAACCAATTTGAGACAAGGACCTTCAGCATCTGGACATGCAGATTCCTGATTTTGGGGGCTGGATTAATTCAAAGCATTGGAACCAATCCCCAGCACTCCTTCCCCACCCACCCCCAGCTCTCATAATGTGTGTCTAAAAGTGACACACATTTGTGATCCCAGCACTCTAGAGGGTAAAGCAAGAGTCTGGGGCCAGCCAGATCTGTATAGTAAGATCCTGTCTTAAACAAAATGCCTTAAACTTATGAATAAGGAAAAATAATTATTCAGGGATGATTCCTGAGCCCTTATCACTGACATAAGACCAAGTTTTAGGTGGGTAAAGCTTGCTCCTAAGTGAAATGCCTGAGTAAATGAATCTGCCTGACCCTCACGTATGATTAAAAAAATCAGAGCCTGTCGGTGGTGACACATACCTGTAGTCCCAGCACTCAGGAGGCAGAGAGGCAGGTGGATCTCTGAGTTTAAGGACAGCCAGGGCTACACAGAGAAACCCTGTTTCTCAAAACAAAACAAATCAGAAGGAAAATAAAAACCCTCCTCAAGGTATCTGGGATTGTGTATGTGTGTGTGTGTGTGTGTGTGTGTGTGTATTTGACCTGATAGTTATTAAAGCACTAAAATCTTGATTATCTTTACTAAAAATATACTTTTCCCATCCAAGTATAATTCATGCTATTTTAAAAATTTTATTTATTATTTATTTATGAGTATGATAAGTGTTTTGCCTATGTAAAAGTATCTTTTATTCGCCCGATGTAACTGTCATCTGGGGGGCATACTACCTCCGTCTGCTAACCTAGGCCTCTGTACAATCTTATCTAGGCCTAGAGTATTTTCAGCCTCTGACATTTGCCACAGAATAAGCTGACCCTTTCCTCCTCCTCCTCCTCCTCCTCCTCCTCCTCCTCCTCCTCCTCCTCCTCCTCCTCTTCCTCCTCCTTCTTCTCCTCCTCCTCCTCCTCTTCTTCTTTTTTGTTTTTTCCAGACAGGGTTTCTCTGTGTAGCTCTGGCTTTCCTGGAACTCACTATGTAGACCAGGCTGGCCTCGAACTCAGAAATCCACCTGCCTCTGCCTCCCAAGTACTGGGATTAAAGGCGTGCGCCACCACTGCCCAGCGCCTTTCTTCTTCTTGAGTTGGTTTAGCTCAGCTGTTCTGGCTCAGCCTCCTCTCCAAGCTGACTGATTCAATCTGTCTTCTCTCAATTGCTTTGCTTGGACTTGTTCTAACTTAGGTAACATGTTCTAATCTTCAGCCTCCTTCTCATTCTCTGTCTCGTTCTGTCTTCATCTGTGTCTAGCTTGCTCTCTCTCTTTCTGATCTGTCTCTGTACAACTGCCCCTGTGAAACTGCCTTCTCTCCTTTTCTCTCTCTGTGCTCTCTTTCGTAAGTAGTCTCTTTTTCTCTCTGTTCTCTGCTTGCCCCCTTCTCTCTCTCTTGCTCTCTTGCTCTCCTGCCTCTAGCTTCTCTCTGTCCCCTCGCCCTTCCCCCCTTCCCTTCCCCCTCTCTCCACGTGGTCATGGCCGGCCTCTACTCCTCTACCTCTCTGCTCTCTCTCTTCCCCCCCTCTGCCATCTTCTCTCCCACCTTTGCCCTCTTCCCTGAATAAGCCCCCTCCCCTTTGGAACTGTTTGGTCTGGTGTGGTCTGTTCTGAGCTGTGCGCCAAAAGTCTAACAGTTGGGCCTATCCTACTCTGTCAAATCTGTTTCCGATTTGTCACTTTGTTTGCCTCTCAATTAGATGCATCACCTTCAAACATGGGTGCTCCTTTCAACAAGGGATGGCTTGGGATTAAAGGTGTGTACTAAGGGTGTGTCTGTATTCCAGTGCTTAGCTGGAATCCAGAGTAGCCATGTTGCTGGATTAAAATCCCTGTACATGCCTATACATATGTTTGTGTACCATGAGCATGCTTGGTACCTATGGAGGCCATAAGTGGACACTGGATCCCCTGGAACTGGAATTACAGACAGTTGTGAGCCACCACGTGGGTGCTGGGAATTGAATCTAGCTCTTCTGTAAGAGTAGCAGGTGCACTAACCCACAGAGCCATCTCTCCAGCCTCAACGATTTTCTAATTTTTAAACATACCAGTTTCTTTGTCTTATGTATGAATTGGTGAGGTACCTCCAGACGTGTGTGAAAATAGTGATGATGGTCTGAGACATAGCTCAGTGGTAGAACAGATGTGCAGCGTCCTCAAGTGCAAGGTCCTTCTCTGAGGTTCAGTTCTCAGCATTGATACAGTAGCTTACAACCTTCTATAACTCCAGCACCCTCTTCTAGTCTCCAGGGGCAACAGGTATACACACAGTACAAATACATACATGCAGATAAAACTGCCATACATGTAAAAGAAAAGTAAAAAAATAATTAAAAAAATTATTTACAGTATATGATGAGTACACTGTCGCTGTTTTCAGACACACCAGAAGAGAGCATCACATCCCGATTGCAGATGGTTGTGAGCCACCATGTAGTTGCTGGGAATTGAACTCAGGACCTCTGGAAGAGTAGTCAGTGCTCTTAACTGCTCTTAATTGGGGCTTGCTTACAGTTTGAGAGCTTCAGTCCATTACCATCATGGCAGGAAGCATGTCAGTGTGCAGGCAGACATGGTGCCGCAGAGGCAGCCCAGGCTGGCCTAGAACTTAGTATGTAGCCCAGGCTGACCTTAGAGTACTCCTTTACCTCAACCTGAAGGGTAGGATTACAATAAGCAAAACTAATTGCAACACACACACACCCTCAGATTTCATGTAAATTTGAAAGCAATATAGATGATTGGAAACTTATTCTTTGGTTGGTTGGTTGGTTTTCAAGACAAGGCTTCTCTGTGTAGCTCTGGCTGTCCTGGAACTCACTCTGTACACCAGGTTGGCCTAAAACTCACAGAGATCTGCCTGCCCCTGTCTCTGAGTGCTGGGATTAAAGCCACTACTACTGGGCATAGAGATGTATACTTACAGGGAATTAGACAAAGAGCTCATTAGACAAGTCTCCCATCCCTGTCACACCTCCTACTAACTCAGAATGATATATTTTTGTTTTGTTTTGTTTTGTTTTGTTTTGTTTTGTTTTTCAAGACAGGGTTTCTCTGTGTAGCCCTGGCTGTTCTGGAACTCACTCTGTAGACCAGGCTAGCCTCGAACTCTCGAACTCAGAAATCAACCTGCCTCTGCCTCCCAAGTGCTGGGATTAAAGGCGTGCGCCACCACCGCCCAGCTTCAGAATGATATTGGAATGAAAAGAAATGAAGTCAGGTCTGCTAAATTGGGTTTGAGAGCTGTTCAGATCTAATTCTTGATTTTTTTTTTCCTTTCAAGAAACCAACTAAGCAAAAGACTGAAAACCATCCAAAATACTGGGAAAGGGTATGAGACTCAGAGCCTGTACATCATGCTGGACAGAATTGATCAGTACCAGAAGAAGGTGATGCGTGGCTGGACAGACAAACAGAAGCAGCTGGACCAGAGACGAAAGCAGTGCCTACGGTCTATGACACAGTTCTTTAGCCAGGTAAACTGCTTCCACGCCTTCTTCCAAGGGTGCTGCCAAAGAAATAAGGTTGTTTGGGTTTTAATTTATTGGAGATATGATCTCTCTACTATATAGCCCTGGCTGTCCTGGAACCTACTATACAGACCAGGCTGGCCTTGAACTCACACAGAATTACCTGTCTCTGCCTCCCAAGTGCTGTGATTAAAGGAGTGCTCCATCATGTATAGAAAAAAAAAAGTTTGACAATAACATTTGTCTGACTAGACCATATGTAGTCGTTTCCTGAGGATGCTATAACAGATCACCAGCAATCTACAATAGAAGTAGCTGGGTGTGGTGACTCACTCCTGTAAACCTAGCACTTTAGAGGCCGAGGCAAAAGGATTACTGTTTGAGGCCCAGCTGGGCTACATGGATAATTCCAGGTCTGCCTCGGCTATAGGGTAAATTCCCCATCTTGAGTATCTGACCCCCTCAAGTACTGACAATGATTAAAAGAATCCTTGACCACTGCCAACAAGACGAAGCTACCTTCCCATCTTCTAGAGGCAAGAAATTGATGAAACCAAAGCATCCCAGGGTTCACTGTCTCTGGAGTTCCCCCGAGGGAGAGATCTGTTCCTCGATTTGCCATTCCTTAGCCTGTAGCTTTGTAACCCCAGTCTCTGCCTTCAGATGGCCAATGTGTCTTCTGTGTCCTCTTCTGACTCTGAGGAGAAAGGGCAATGAATTCGTTACACACCTAAGTAGTCCAGGATGCTTTCATTTTAAGAAGCTTAATTATACCTGCAAACTCTTTTCCCAAATAAGGTCACAGTCACAAATTCTGGTGGACCTGTCTTTATTGGACGCTGTTGGATCTACTTCAAGACACTTACTTGATGACAGCTTTGCAACAAGAGAGGCTTTGGAGCAGATTAACTGT